CTGCTGAAAGTTCAACTTCCCCTTGCTGGGAAGTGAGAAAAACAAACATATAAGGACTAATTCTTCATTTTCTCTGAGCTACCCTTAAAATTGTGATATAACAGCAGAGACATTTGAGCAAATTATAACAGTATTGCCTAAACCCCATTGCATGAGAGGACTTTTGTTTCCACCAGCTTCAGCCTTGAGAGTTTTCAAGCATGTGTTCTATAAATTTATACTTTAGAAGACTTGTATTTACCTTTAAGTGACTGGCAGTGGCTCTCTATATAAATTTTGAAAGCTTGATATATCTAGAACATAAAAAACCCCAAAATCACTCACATTCTCCAAACAGTGCTAAGATTAGCTTAAAAAATTAAGTAGTATTCTTACTTGGTTGAAGTGCTGGAGCTGCACATTGTAAAGTAAGCCAGTTGAATTTAACAGAACTTTGGTTGAAGAAAGCCCTGTAAGGGAAATATTATTATCACTTATTGGCTAAAATTATCTGAGAACTAACTACATCTGCATATATTTTTTTTCCAGGAAGCTTATGTGCTTCCATATCTGTTAGTCAAAACCCCCACATTTCTTATTTCTTTGTTACTAACAAAAGCAGTCTGAACTTTAATAGAAAATTACCCACATAAAACCTCCCAACTATGGAATTTTTAGGCAAATTTATTAATGTCAGTAATATTAGTTTTCAATTTTTCTCCAAAGTAATATGCTTTACTTACCAAATGACAAAAGATGTGTTACAGGAAGCTGTACTGTCCTGGAATCCTCTTTGAAGAATTCACAGCCCAAGGTATACTGCAATTCAGGATGTCAAAAACAGATCTAAACTGAGCACAGGACTATAAAACCTTTGTACCTGCCAAATTCCATTCACAAGCTCAAGCAGAGTCCAGGGCACAAATATTGAGAAGCCACCTCTCCCCAGTGCCCTGATGGGGACCAGCAGGTCACTTGCTCCTCTACGCAGCAGTACAAGTCTGTGTAGCTTCACTCTAACTCTCACCCATTTGCAACAGCCTTCAAAAGGCTATTCCAAATAGCTGAGAATGACTGGAACCCAGTCCACATCCCTCCTTCCCAGGTACGTGTTTCTTGAGGGGGTGTTACATAGGAGAGTGACTTGGTCAAACTCTGGACACAATTTCAAAGCAAAAACCTTTATTTGGCTCCTGAAGTTTAATCATGCAAAGGCAAAGCAAACTATCCAGCAGCTATGAGTTGTACTATCTCTAGTATTTAGTTCACTTGAAAATTATTTTCCATGCCACTGTAAATCAACCATTTCTTTACTTTTTGAAAGTAGTTTCCCAAATTTAACAATGGACTGCAACCCAGCAGGTTACAGATCACAAGTGATCTCTCTTCTGTCTTAGCTTACCCAGAACATTGTGTGTTACTAACTGAACTGCAAAACATCTCCATCACAACTAACTGACAATACACTCATAGATGAACATTATGATCACTTCAGCTGTGAATAATTTCTTGGATCATGGACTATTATAACAGAGACACAGAGATTGTATTTGTGTCACAGAAAGGAATGTCAGTTCTGCTTAGCCTTGAAATTCAAGTTCAGTGTTCTGCCATTTCCAGGACTAACTAGAAAGGACTGCCAGGCCCAGCTGGGTAATATGCCAAGTCTGCTTAGCTTTACTGCAAGTGTTCCTTTCGCTGGGATCCTGACAGGCCTGGATGCAAAGATATCCAACTCATTTGTGAGATCCAGAACTATCAAACTCTGCACAACTCAGTCTACCTCATTATTTGTGGTCTCAGAGCTGCAGAGGTATCTGATCTGTGCTCCCCAGAATCCACGTGACGTCTTCAATTACATAAATTCTCTGCTACCCTGGTAAGAGCAGTGACTGCATAAAGGTATAAACATTCAGGAATGCAATCAGAGTATTAAGAAAAACAAGCAAGACTACCATTACAATCTCCAACAAGAACTCTTTAAGAACTGATTAAAGAGCTATTGCTTTTTATGGTTCAAGTGCTGTTCATGCCTTGTGTTTGGCATTTTATCAAACCAAATGTTTCTGAGCTTACAGAAGATAACAAGTTACCTTCAAACCACACTTGAGTGTAGGTCTATAGTTTCTCAAAGTAACTTAGCATTTATTTAATACACTTCCTTTTCCTTCTGCCATAGCACCTGAAAGCAAGCAATTTCTACATCTCATTTTTTTTTACCTTATTGCCAACTGCAGGTGGCACCTGAATGACAATGTGGGACAAGGAAACATAGTCCTGAAGTTTCAGTTTTACGACCTTAAAAAGGAAAGTTAAAAAAAAAAAGAAGCCATTACTGAACATAGCCCTTAGCACGCCTCTTGTCAGTTCCCAGTTGTCTACCTCCTGTACCCACTTCCTCTGAACATAACTGCATGTTCCAATGCTGTAAGTAGAACACATCCTCCCTGTATGACTTGCCACTACTCCCTGAAGCATGTCTCCCTCCTACAATTACGGACAATCCTTACCTTGGCGGTTGGAAGCAACTCAGCTCTCCAGGATAAATCAGTAGCTTCCAGGCTGTAAAAATTGATGCACATTAAAGGATGAGCATATTCATTCTGCAGGCACTACGTTATGCCAGTGGATTAACATATCAGCTCTTCCCACTGGATTCACATTTTAAATTGAGAAGAAGTTTGGGTGTACTGCAGTTAGCTACCATAGTAATTTATCAAACTATAATCATTTCAGACACCCCAAATCTTGGTTTTGCAAACACAAGTTAAGCAAAGCTCCAACTCTGTCATAAAAAACCCATGCGGCAGTTATTAGCCATTGCAGTTATTAGCAACTTCAGACACATAATGAAAACCTTTCATGAGCTGAAATAGCACTGGCATTGAATATATTAGTTAATAATGTCTGCCGTTTTATTATCATCTTTTAGACATCAAAAGTACCAACTTTTCCTATGGGAACACCTAAAGTATACCATATAAATCACAAATGTTGTTAGCTGCTAAAGAGTGCAGCAGTTCTAAAATAGTGTGTACTTACATGGAGTTAACACACCAAACTGCAACACAGTCACTTCAGGTTTTGATTTTAAGAATACCAGGACACCTCTAACTCTCTGAGTAGTTTTACAGGACCTCAGGACACAGCACATAGCAAACCCACCATTATTAGATGAGGTCTAAGTAGCAGTCCTGAACTAAGCTATCCTGCACTTGATGCTGATCAAAGGTTATACAAAGGAGTAACAGTCAATTTCTTGGATCAGGAACAAGGAATGATGACATCTGGCTATCTGTTGGAGGCAAGACACTCTGGCTACACACTATGCTAGTTCAATTCCACCTGGAAGCTGAAAACCTTTTCTGTCCTGTTTTCTTGGTGATACAGAAAGCATGAATTATTTACAATAACCATTTTACTTCCCAATCTCTTCCTTCCTACATATGCTTTAAATTCAAACAGTCTCACCAGATCCATTTGAACAAAGAGCAGGAACTATCTATACTCACCACATTGATGAATTACTGTTCATACAGCCATAAATCCAGCTGCTTGTGTCCTGCAAAGTCAATACCATAAAATAGTGCATTACTTAGGTGTGACTGCATTTATCAATCTATTTAAAATACCAATTCCTCACCCCAAACAATACAGGAGTTACAGCTGATGATAAGATCCCAAAGTTCTAGATGCTGTTTCAGTACACCAGGCATCCTTGCAACTCTCCTAAAAATACTCTTGACAGCAGAACCTCGGTGCCATTAACTTACTAAAAAGAGAACAAACTTTCATCTTTTGTCTCACTCCTTTTCTATTTAGCATGTCTGCAGCAGCTATCACTGCAGCGAGCAAACTTTCCTGAAGATGTCAAATGCTGAAGTGTAAAAGCCAAGATGATTATACAAACAGTCTCTCTCAGAATTATTCAGTGATTTACCATCAAAGATACTCTCACTCTTCTGTGTTACCAGCAAGGGATATCCTCCATTAAAATCTGGTATCATAACCTTGCAATTACAAGGATGGAAAGGTGAAGCACAGCAGTGACCAGTGAGGGTTTCTGGGAACCACTTTAAATCACTTCACTTTCCATCCTTTCCAGTTATGAGTAAATACAAGGACAAGCAAACAAGCTTTCAGAACTTCTCTTTAAAAAATATCCATCTTACATATGATGTTTAGTCTCCTAACTAAAAGAAACATCTCAAGGTACTATCCTAACCAGTAAAGGAATACTACAGATATTTAATGTTCTGCTGCTCCCTCCCTTGAGAACTCAAGTGTTATGAAGTGACAGCTCCCTGATGCAAGTATCTCGGACATTAAACCAAGTACCTCCCTTTTCCTCCTCAAGCTGTACAAGTCCTGCCTTTAACACATCCTAACAAAGGCAAAAGTTACCCTATTAAAGCACAACTAAGATCACAACCAATGTGTAAACACTGGAGGTGCTGCTGAGAAGAACAATTACAAAAGCACCAAGAACAGACAATCTTTGTTTCACAGTGGTGGTATGAGTGTCTTCTTTGGCACAGGGAGGAGTGACAACAGGGACAGGCAGGATGGAACAGGAAAGCATCTCAGTCTTCTTGCCACTAATCTAAAATACATAATTCTAAAAAGCACATTTATCCATTCAGTTTGCCAAGAGATTACATTCCTTCTTGTAAAAAAGTACTTTCAAAAAAAGTTAAAATCTGGCTGAATTTATGTGTCTTGTGCTAAAAAATACAAGAAACGCATATTGTTGCATCTCCTGTCCATAGGAGACAACTGAGGTGGTGCTGTTTGCTCATCTGTCCTCCACTCACTTTCACTGCTGAGCGAAAGATCTCTGCAGCCTTTCAGGCTCACTGAAATTTTCTTACAGGAAAGCAAACCTACAAACAGCTTTCCCAAATTAGAAATATGGCTGAAACACCACAGCACTAAAAATACCTTCTTCATTCAAAGCCATCAGCACAGAACTGCACTAAATTGAAGGACAAAGTATCTAGGGCTAACCATAAGAGAGTCAAAAATAAAACATGTGAGGTTCAGGTGGCATTGACAGTTTCAGATCTGTGACATGTTAAAACAGGTAGTGCAGCTTACACAGTGCATTAGGTTGTGAATGTAAATGGATTTCAGCAACTGTTCATTAAACTGTCTGAAACTGCAGCATATCTAAATTTAAAAAAAAACCCACAGCTTTATAAACAAACTCCAGACATGAAGAGAAGTCTTTTCTCACCAACATACTATTTTCACAGTAAACATGACTGTATGATTTTCTGTGGCTTGCAAGAGGAAATGTGAAGTATTTGCCATCAGAATCCTTAAAAGACAAAAAACAAAAGCTCATTAGTAAAACAAAACCCAACCCAACCAAAACTAAACATAAACACACAAAGAGGAAAAAACATTACTTACATTGTGAACTGAGTAAGTCCATTTTGAGGCTTTGACTGTAATCCACATGAAAGCTCCTAAAAATAAATATGTGACATTATAGGAACCATTACCTTTATATCCAAAATTTTATGTTTTACTTATCATCAAGGTCTTATTTCATCTCTTCATATGGACAAACTTTCTAAACTTTTATCAACACTGAGTATTGCTACGGCTTAGGGTTACATGCAACAGTTATCATCACTTACACAGCAAAATCCCAGGGTCCTGTTCCTAATTACTAATTGTAAAGTAAAAACCCTGTGGATCTTGAAACAAAGATCTAAAGGCAACAAAACAAATAAGGTGAGTGATACTAATGTCATTAATTCCTCCTTATTGCTAAAAACTGACCCCAAAGAAGGCAAACAAAAAAAATCCGTTTCACTACCTGTTCCAGTGTCCTGTTTGACCACCCTTCTGGTGAAGTACTTTTTCCTTCTATCTAACTGGAACGCCTTTTGTTGCAACAGGACTGTATTGCCAATTGTGCCATGACTGTGCACCTCTGAGAACAATCTAGCTCCATGTTCTCTCCAAGCTTTCATTAGGCAGTTGAGGACAGCAAATGATCCCCCTCAGCATTCTCTTCAGGGTGAAAAACCACAGTTCAACTCAGCCTCTTTCCCCCAAGTCCTATGCCCCAGGAACTAACTATTTTGGTGGCCTTCTGCTCCATACTCACTTCAGTATATGCCAATGCCTAAATGCCTTCTGGATACAAAAGTTCAACCTACTTTAGTACTTCTGCAATACCTTACATTGAGAAAATTCCTGAAATAAAATGGTTTCCATAAAATGGTTCAGCCTACTTCAGCAAAAGTAGGGATACAGCTGTGCCCTACAGTAGTTGTGTCTACTTCCTAAGGCTCCATGCAGTCAACATTTCTTACTTTTAACTACTGATTCTTAGGAGTTACAAGGAAACCCTTAGTTTGCTGTTCATTCCACTCTGCTGTGTCAAAGCAGCAGAAAGAGGAAGTGATGGATGAAGCAGATCTGAATATTCTGAATTTCCATGAGTGACACAAAACTAACACAATGGCCCTACAACACCCAGACTATTCCTCTTGCAAGCACAGGACCTGAGAGTAGATTACACTGTACTTTTGACATCCAGCTATTCCCAGTTCCTGGGACATCCTGGTGTGACTATGACTGTTGTGCATCCTCCAGAATCCAACCTACATAAAAGTGACAGAGTTTTGCTCCTACCCCTTTTAACCTGTACCGAAACCAAACAAATGCTGATTGTTTAGGTCTATAACCTGTATAGCATTTTAGCAACGTCTGAAGAAGGACAAAGTGTATTCCACAAGTTTGTTACTGAGAAGATTAACTAATAACAAAGGAGTATCAGTGAATCCTATTCACAGGAAAACTGCTGCACACCTGCAAGTTCTGTAAGAGCTTCAGGATTTTCCTCAAATATCTTTGCAGGGTGTCTCACAAAGTGGTGGTTCAGGACAGACATTCTCTTCTTTGGATCCTCAGTTATCTAAAAAACAGACCACATGATCAATTTTTTACCAATGTGTATGATTTAAGAACATCAATACAGTTTTGTGGCTGAGAGGCAGAAGAGATTGTTACAAGACACAATGCACTTTCCATTCTAAATTCAGTTATCTGAACAGATAAAGTGCCATCAATGGTCAATCACTGCAATACAAAAAGTCTACTCACGTTATTAAAATAACCCTAAACCTTTCAGGAGTTTTACATCCTCACCTACTCTAAACAAAAGGAAGAAGTGTGCCCTGAACAGCCTTGAAAAGAACACCTGGATCCTTCCTCTTCTATGTCTGGGGCTCTGCTCATGTATTTTCAACCCCTTAGACCTTAATTCCAATTCATGCTTATTGCTGCATAACATTTCAGAAAGAAAACAGCACAGTGGGAGATTTCTCCAGCAGTTTTCAGACAGTAAGATGCAGGATATTCACTCAGAAAAGCAATAAATAATGGTAGCTGGGTACGAGGATGCAGGTATTTTGCTTGCATTCATTTTTCTAAGTGCTTTGTGAAAAACAACACCACGAATATCTGCTGGTCACTGGGACCACCACATGTATTTTCACCCTTTGTGTACCAGTCAGGGAAGGTGACCTGAACACACACTGAGAGGTCACATTCACAGCTACACAGCTAACAAAATGTATTTGTGCTGCTGCAAGGTCAACTGAACCTGCTGCATTATGGAAGAAGTGCTCAGCCCACACCCCAGCTCTGAAGTATCCAGCAGTCAATAATGAAAACTGAGCAAAAGCTTCTAATAATTTCTGACACATTACTCAAACAACACAGAGCCACAGGATTTTTCAGTGACAGGTACACAACAGAAACTATTTTCTCAACAGGGCTTGGAATGATCAAAAAGCAGTTTTCTGTATAATAGGGAGAGATTTCTCCTGATTAAGTATTCTGGGATGGAAGAAGAAAGTTTGATGGGTAAATATACAGGAGATCACATCTACAGACCTGCCTTGTATTTTCATCTATGAGATCAAAAAATGCTCTAATGGTAGCCAAGATCAGTTCTTTGCACCTAGAAAATAGAAAGAATAAAATTAAATCTAGAAAGAAAACATCCAGGGTAATAAAAGCTGTCAGAAGAGACATCATTATAACACTATGCTGAAGTTAAATTATGGTATCAAGTGATAACAGTAGAGAACAGAGGTATGTACAGTCAATTGATCCTTGTCCCATTAGCTTACCACACTATGGAGAGATGGTCAGTTGAGGCCCAAGCTCTAGGCACAGCTGAGCTCTGTTTGGGGAAAGAAAAGTTAAGGCTTTGTTAGTTTTCAACGTTTTAGAATTCTAAGCAAGCCTTTCCCCTCCTTATTTAAACATATCTGTGCAATTATTAAAAAGAATAGTGTTTTTCATAAGAGTTTCAGGGCCTAGGGTACAGCAGAATGACTTCTCCAGTCAAAGATCTTACAAGCACAGAAGCACTTATAAAATAGGACTTATAAAACAAACGGACCAAGTTATCTATGTTAGACAGCAGAGACTACTGGTGAAAGGGCAAATAATGGTGTGGAGGGAACTCAGCAAAAAAATTCTTCAAAGACTGCAGCTATGAATAACCTTACTGTTTCAATAATTGATCCTGGCATACAAGAATGGAAGCATGCCAATGAAAAACCAAGGGCATCCTCAACAGAAAGAAGCATCAGGACACCATGCAGAAAGAACTGCACAGTCTGAAGCTATCCATTCATGTATTTAATGTATTGCATTCTAGGGACTAACCACACCACAGCCACCTCCCAGACATGCAGCTCATCACCTAGCTGCACAACTTGAAGCTGTGCATCACACCTGGAATGAAAAAAAACCCCAAACTGAACAATAACAACCACAACACCACCCTCAAACCAAACCAAACAAATGGGAGAGAGAACTGGTACCACTTCTCATGAAATCTCATGCAAAATTCTGGTCCCCAACACTCAAGAGAAACAAAACTAGAGCAGATGCAGAGAAGGGTTACTGGGCCAAAGGGAATGCAGAGTTAATCTTCTTAGCTTAGCTTATCCGAACTGAGACTATTTATAGACAGCTTTGTACAATAGGCAGCGAGGTAAACACCAAGGGAATGACAACTACTGCAGATAACACTTCAAGCTGATGTCAGAACAAACACATTTAAAAACTGGCTTGTGCAGTAAATGGAAATTACAAATTTTCTCCCTATTGGTGAATATTTTACAGCTTTTTCCATGTAGGGAACAGGCTGATGGAGAGGGGATGGAAGGACAAACCTAAATACTTAATGATGTCTCTTGACTAATTTTGAAAGGATAGATGCTTGCAGAAGCAGAAGGCTGGACTTGATGCAATACACCCTTTCTATTCCTAAAATCTGTGATAAAAAACAAATAGAGCAAGGAGGCTCCAAGCCAGAGCTCTCTATAATCAAACATGCACTCTACTTGCACATCTGCCAGTCTCCATATAGACATCTCTTGCAAAAATGCAGAAAAATAAAACCTGACTTCTGGAACTGAAAACACGCAGGCAGGTGGTAAGAAGAGACAGTACCAAGTGGTAGGTGATTCCAGTTGACCCCACACATACTCTGCCAGTGAACATTCATTTATAACACATCAGCTATTTCTGATTCAATAGCCATGCACTGTCTACTCTGTGTTTGCACATGTAGAATTTCTGAACTTATTCGCACCATGCTGCACATACAAGGTGCAATTAGCCACAGATACATGCATTACACAGCTAACACTGCTCCATGCAAAACCAAAAGAGTTTGCTTTTTACCACAACAGATAAGGCACTGTCATGTTGACTCAGTCCTGGTAGAAAGGCCAGTCCTGACCGCACTTGGTAATCTCTGAATCCTCCAGCCACAGAAAGGGTGGTTAAATTCCTTAAATCCTGGGCCTTTAGAATCCAATGACTGTTTACAGCTGTATAAAAATCTACAAAATACATTAAAATCAATCACAATTTTCCCATAAGCCTATTTAATATACCAAAAAGCTATATAAACATTGAATTAGAAGTTTCTTTAAGCCTCTCAAGAGGCATTTGAGCTCTGATTATCACTTTTGATTCATGTAAGGGAGAAAAATGCTTATTTTAATCCCAAGGAGGTAGCATCAAGGAAAGAGACACACACTTTCTCCATCAGCTGAGCACATATATCATTGAAGGAGAAAACCACAGATTTGTGTGAAGGACAGACACAGTCCAGAAACAGCCAACAAGGAAGCAGAATTGCACTGAAATCAATTGCAGGAGGAAGAATTAATACAAGCACAATAAATCAAATCCAGCAGCTAAGGATAATCCATTCCTCTTGGGTGTCACAGGGAATAATGAAAATCAATGTCTGTTCCCTTTGCTTCACCAGCTCCCTCAGTATCTACACACAGCAACACAATTATCACCAAGCACATGTTTAATCAGTGCAGTTTAATCAAATCTAGCTTTTCAGGAAGTGTATAGCACATGCATAATTATTACACTTTATATTTATGCCACAGTCATTTAGGAGGAGAAAGTATGACCTGTTTTATAAATGTATTATATAAAATAGACTATTCCATCTATATTTAATATTCTCACCCCCACAACCTTCGGGCACCAAAACCATTAAATTTAGCGCTATTTTTGTACAAGTTGCTATTTAAGCAATTCATTTAATAGAGAAAGACATTACAGAGGTCAATTTTAAAGAAAAAAAGAAAGAAAAAATATCATTCACTGGAGATCTTACAGATTTAGTAACATGACCTGCAACTTCTTAAAATTATATCTTATTGAGAGCTCCAGGCCCTGCACAGAAACTCAAGTCATATAATCACAGAATGTTAAGGGGCTGGAATGGACCTTACAGATCATCTGGTCCCAACCCCCTGCCCTGGGCAGGGATACCTCCCACCAGACCAAGTTGCTCAAGGCTTTTTCCAACCCGGCCTTGAACACTGCCAGGGTTGGGGCAGCCACAGCCTCCCACATAAATCCACATAATCCATTTTATCTGACACTTGACTTTCTCTGAGTATCCCAGTGCTCTCAGCCAACCACCTGACTAACAAAGGAACAGATTAATTACAGTAAACAAAGCAGCACATTTTGCTGCTGATTTGCAAGATTCTCACCTATTAATGCTTGAGAGGACCAACACAGAAATAGGATGTAATCAGATAACCTGCAACACTTACCAGTAAGGTATTTGTCTAAAGGCATTACAGGTGCAACGTGAGGTGTGGCTTGTGTAATGAGGAGGTTTATCAGTTCAGGCTTAAAATTCTTCAGTGTGAGCAAGGCTCTTGCAACAAGACCACCCATAGAATGACCTACTATTGCAACACTGGTGGGTGCAAATTCTCGATCCTTAAGCAAAGAGCAAAGAGTAATTAGACACATCAAAAATAGATTTGACATTGAACTATGGTTATCAGTCGCAGATATTTTTGCCCCAAAAATTAACTTTTGGCTTTTCAAAGATAATATTAACTAGCATCAACTTGACAAAATGAATACACATGTATTTTCTCTCTCAAAAAACATGCTTAGTGTGAAGTTTCCCGCTCAGAAGGAAATAATACATAGCCTCTGTAAGCTAAACTTCAGCATATTTTAATTCCTGAGACTCTTAGGAACAGAGGATGCCAAAAAACTTTCCAAGAGAAAACTGGATGTAAGGCAATGCTATATTAATATTTTAATAAGCTAGAGAAACTTGATATCTCTACTAGAAAAAAGCATATATTGTTCATGGAAGTGTTTGCTTAGAAACACAATACAGAACCTAACCAGAGCTCTGGGATTGTCACAGGCACTAAAAACCTGTTAAAGAGAAGCAATTCTCCATTGCATTATTATCACATTCAATGACCTACACATGGCATAAAGTCTCCCTCCCTTATTTATCAGTCCAGTTTTCCAGCAGAACAGGCAGCCCAGAATTCCATTCCCAAATGCAAAGACATTAATTCAGCATATGTCACCACTTACCCTGTACAACTTCAGAATCACTTTTATGCACTCATGCACAAACTTGGTCTGACGCTGCAGACTACCACCATACAATGCAACCAGCTCCTCATTAAAGTTGACAGTGAAGAAATTAAAATGATACTTGAAGTCAACATCTTCTGCTTTTCTGAGTGCAATGGAGCCAAGAGAACGTACTAGGAAAAGAAACCACATCGATTAGAACAGCCGAATAGTCACTGCTTAGCACCACCTTTAGTAGCCAAGGACATAAATATATAAGCTATTAAGAAACAAATGTTATATTAATTCCACTGTTCGTCTCAAGCCATTTATTATAGACATCCAAAAGCAAACAATCTCTTTTCAGCTCACCCCTGGCTACAGAGATATTTTACGAATATCCATAAACTCCATAATAAAACAAAAAAGATCCTGAGCAGCCAATAAGACAGAACAATTACATTTAACAAGGAATGTGTAAAATGCATGTATGACTTACTGCCAGTCTCTCTAAAACAGTTTCTCAATGAATATACATTTAAGTATTAACTGATCTTAAGCAGCACATTATACTCACAGCATTCAGTACTTCCACTCACCTAGTCCGTTTGTCCCTCAGATAATTCCTTTCAATTCCTAACGTGCCCTGAAAGAATTATGCTGTTTCCTGCACGGGGATGTGCTGCTGTGTTTTCAGAGACAGCCTTAACTCAGATTTGCCATACTTTATGCACAATTACAGAAGTCCATATGGCATCTCTCATAACTGTTCTGCCTGCAATCTCCTTTGAATGCTATTGCGTCTGTCAGTCTGTACTTCTGAGAGTACTAGTTGGTAAAATATATCACTTTGTTATAAACTAAGTCAGGATGTTCTCAAAAAATAACTTTGCAAAGGTTCTCTGACATCAGATCATTGAATCATCAAGTTTAGAGCAAGGAAAAATGATCACAGTAAGTGATCAGGGTTCAGACTGTGGTGGTTTTCCCCACACACACATCTCCATTTTGCTAACACTAAGAGAGTGTCACTAACTGCTTCAAAGCACATTTTAGAGAACAAAACCAACAGTCTGACAAACCAGCCTGGAAGAAATACTGGATACTGGTACTAGAGTAAGCACTGAAACACAAAGCTTCACGTTCATCAAGTGATTAGCTTCAGTATCCACAGTGAAAAATAAATGCTCAAAAAACATTCCTTTCAGTTGAAGCCCAGCTGTGTAAGAGGGGAATAACCTGGAACACAAATGCAGGCTCTGTGTACAGTGGAAAGATGATGCTGAGTAAAAAACATCATTGCATAAAGAAGCAGGAAACAATGAAGCCACAAAATGATGCTTATTGCTGTATCACCTAACTCCTTCACATCACAGATGGTAGATGGTTCTGTTTCTTCTAATCAATTCAGGTCTTGTTTTGCTTGGCATTAGCTGCACTAAACATTGTTCAAATCAAAACCAACTAGATGTTTGCAATCAAAAACACAGCCAGGGTGCAGTGCTGCCATAGCACAGCATAAACTGTACTGCTTATGGCTTTCAAAGCTAAAGTCTCACTCGAGAGAAATTTTAGATCTTAAATGTGCAACTGATTTCAAACAAAACTGATGTATTTTGACTCTCTGACATTAACCATGGACTAACAAGGATATCTGTATCATATTATGATCAATCATTATGACTCTGGCGATATTATTTCAGACAAAAAACAAACTAATGCGTAAATATGACAGCTTTTTGTAACATCCCTATAACTTGGCTAAGCACTTACCTTGCTTGTAACTGCCAGCATTCCCAGGAAGAAAGAGAACTGGAATGCCTGTCAGTAGGAGATTTTTGTTTTCTTCAGCATAGCTCCCTTCCCCATAGAGATAGAGCTCATATGCTGGGTACCGTCTGGCTGTTTTCTTGGGGAGTTTTATTTTCTATTGGAGAGGTTAAAAAGAAACCAAATACCTTGTTTATAGTGCTGCAAACAAGAAAATAGAGTGGCTATCCAGCCATTTAAATATCTGGCTTGTGTTTCATGTATGGTCCTAAATTACAGTCAAAAGAATACAGAATGAAAACAGGGCCTTCTGTTAAAAAACTACTGAAAAATAAAGTACCAAACATGAATGAATACAATCATGTACCTACCACAGATAGGTAACTGTTACCTTGATTGTAAGAAACAGAACTGGAATTCCTGGAACTACGTATATATCAAAGGTAAGTAAAGGTAAATCCAGCCTTATAATGCAGGGGGAAAAAGAAAAAACCTAACCACTTCTCCCAGGACAGGAGAATTTGAGATGAGAAACTGGGGCACGTGAGTGCTCCTAATTGTTCCTAATGCCCTGGAATGGTTTTGGGACCCTTTCCAAGACCACTGACGCAGGAGAAGGATGTGCTAGCGCACCGATACAACAGCTCTGTGTGAGCACAGGGTGCTGTAGGTGACTGCCAGGTGACAGCTGCTAGGTCAGGGTGAGTTGCAGATGCTCTTTGGTGGTTTGTACAGAGGTGTCACCTGCAACAGCCTCATTGTGGCCCACGGCAAAACACAAACCCATGATAGTTCAGGGCTTTTTCCGTTTCGCTGTCAGAGCTGGTTCTGTGCTCGGGACAAACCACCTGGGTTTGGTCCAATTCACATGTCAGTTGTCACCTCAAAGAAGAAAATATGTCTTGTATTAAAAGAAAGAAGAAAACGACTAACCCCCAACCTATCACATAACTTGCTCACAGGATTATGATTCCTAAAGAGAAAAGAACAAAATCTCTTTGAACCTGAGGGCTAGGTGAGGATTAATCTTAAACCAGTGAGTCATGAGCCTTAGAGCTGTATGACACAGTTTTAAACTACGTAAGTAGTAAACAAGAAAGCATTTAAACAATTTAATTTAACATTTAATTTAACTGGGTTGGTTAGTTGATAACTCTTAGTTTCTAAGATAGTTTTAAAATTTCTATGAATGCAAATACACTCGTTATTGGATTAATTATGTTATGTTGACCGAGAGACAAGTAAGATGAAAATACATTAAGGTGTAATTTATAATTTAAGGAAACACAGAATAAGGTCAAAACTAAACCCGCAAAGTCTCTCTTAATTGCTTTCTTGAAATAGAAGCACCACTATTTCAAGTATTTCATTGTTTCTCTCAGCTGCATCTACAATAAAGGTGATTTAGCTGTAACTCCCTGCCCACACACTTCTTCCCTTCCCCTGTTCTCTTCTACCTCTTCTCAGCTAAGGACTATTTTCTTTCTTCCTTAACTTCAAACTTTTAGCCATATTGGCTGTTTGCAACCTCTTCTTACGATGTTTGATATGTATTTTTTTACATTTTTATTCTATATGCATTATTTATAACATTTTAATTAATTAATCCATGAAACAGAGTGTGTGTGTTTAATTCTCTGTAAGCCAAAAAGGTTCAGCTTTGTGCAGGGCTTGTGTCTTCAGATCATCCTTTAAGGAAAACAGACATTCATGTTCCATGACAGTGGGTTTAAAGTCTGAGTTTCCAAGGCATTGCTTATATAACTGGTTGTAGGGAGTTACAGGAACTTTTGACAATGTCAATGTAGGCTTCATTTCCCACTCTGGTTCCCAAAGAAAGCAAGTTTATGTGAAGAAGTCCTCATTACTAACTTCTGAATCTCTCACCAAGTACAGCTGAACAGGCCAAGAGCAGGTGAAATGCAAATGCTGCAGTTCTGCAACTCGTGCAAAAAAAGGATGGTTAAGTACAAAGAGAAAAAGAATCTAAACCAATGCCATTACTTAGCATGAGGTTGACTGTGACCTAACCCACACTGACAGACACAAATGAGATGAAACTTCTCGTTCAATTGCTCAGGTAGTTCTCTGGTTTGTAATGTGATACCAATCCGGAAGAGAGGACAAGTACCTCCCACCCGCAACTCCTACCCTGTGCTTTCCTACAAAGCCAACACCACAAACACATGAAAAACCAACCAACCCCTCCAACAACAAAAGAAAGAGGTATCTGCCAAGTATAATGCCTTAGCAAACCCACACCCATTAATTATTCCCTCCCTCCTCTCAAGTACTGTTTTCTGCACAGTGAAAACGATTACCGTGGAAGCAGAAATTCCAAGCAGCTGAGACTTGCATCTCCTGCATGGAGCTACAGCTTACCTTGAACCTTTGCAACCCTGACCAGCACAACACCTGCCTGGAAATGCTTAAGAGTGTCAGCTCCGACACAACGAGCAAACACAAAAAACGTGTTGTAGCAGACAAGAATCTCAGGCAACTGCCAATAACATCACACGGATTTTGCTAGTAACTTTCTGTTGGTTGGCTTCAGGCTGAAGCTGAAGTAGGTTTTGGCTGCCAGATCTGAAAACTTGCTGTGTAGTATTTAAGTATTTATAACTGCTCAAACAAATCTGCCTGACAGCACTGACAAAACAACTCTTGTAGCTACACCACTCTCTTTTGTAGGCTAACATGACTATGTCAAGGTTAGGAAATGTAGGCTAATAGATCCAAAAATCAACTGTTTCATTACTAATTTAGACAGTAAAGTTTTGCTTTCAGATCTTCTCTACTATGCAAGCCAACTTGCGACCTACTTCAGAACAGGGTATTTAGAATACTTCGTATTTTTTCCAGCCTCAGATAACGTTCACAAGTCAACAAATTATGCTTTTAGCGAGACAGAAAATGCTACGGTAAGGACTACTCTTAAAGAGAGAGCCTGTTTTCTAACAGCCACATGCAGCAGCAGCGAACCCACTAATGCGTATGCACACCCTCCTGCTCTCGAGCCAGAACGCAGTGCCTGCAGAACAGCACTTCAGCAG